TTGATATATTTAGAGGGAGGGAAGGAAGTTTCAAAATTCAGATTAGATTAATTTCTACAATTTCTTTAATTCATGGTGGTTTTCAGTAATCCCCTGGTAATTGAGGACATAAGTAATCTAAATGAGTAATGTCTTTATGACTTTCAGAAAGGACAGGAGACCGATAGGTGCCTATCAATGATTGTCAACTGACAGTAAATACATGGAATTCAATAAACATTGAATAGCATGCATGCAGTTTGTCTGTGCATTTTCCTCTGTGTTGTCCTGGCATATAGTCTCCCCCCATGGTTTGCTGTGCTGCCTGGGGATGCTCCAATCGCTCAGAGAAAGGAGTACAAATGTAAGGTTTCCCCACTGACACAGAGAGGAGGAAATAATGTCTGGCTCAAGTCAGCAGGGAGCAATTTAACGATCACAAAAGACAACAACAGCAACAACATATGGTGAGGTAATCATGTTTTTCACAAAACAAAGACCACACCATTGCTTAACGTCTGTTTAATAAAAATAAGGAACAGGGAGAGGCTTGCAAAGCTCTGGGAGTTGAGACTCAGGTACAGGGTGAGGGTCTCATTGCAGGTCTTCAGGCTCCATTGAATCCCCCTGGGGTTCTTGTGCTGAAAGAGGGAGACAGGAGAAAGGGTTTGATACATCTAGCAACCTATAGGATGGGAAATTGGCTGACCTATTTTAAAACGTACCATGTGTTTTCACTCTCACTTAAGTCCCTCTCCCTTTGCCATCAATCCAAAATCAGCTGAGCTGCACATAATACAGACAGGTAATAATCAACAGAATCACAAAGACATATGACTCTGCTAAAACACTCACCCATAAGTAGTGCTGCGTACCTGACTGACATTCAGGTTCAGGTCCGGACTCAAGTCCAGAGGTTCAGGTTCAGGTCCGGACTTATAAGTCCGGACCTGAACCTGGCTTGTGTCAAGTTGTGTGAGTAACTAAAGTGAACTTATTGTGAGCTAATGATCATAATCAACTCAATTCAAACTCGTCAGGTTTTATTGCGCTCCCTTCCAACTTGTGTCTACATTTCTACAGTACAAATGTAAAAAAATAACTTTTTGCCACTAAGTCTTACAAATGACTTATGACAGCAACTACAGTGAACTACTACAAAGTTCAAACATTTATTTCATTTACCAAACTAAAAGTAACCAAACAGTTCCTGAGCTGACTGAGCCTAAATCCCTAAAACGTTGCTGAAAGGTAGAGTAGACTATAGGCCTACGCATTACACTGTTACACACCTACTATACAGTATACACTGTAGTGACTGTACAGTCAGAGTGTACTGTACTGTCTGTACACCATGTATTTTCTACAACTCTACATGTGTACATTATACAGTACATACTACATACATAGTGATGTACATACATACTGTTAGAAATTAAAATCAATGTTGATATGGCGTAATTTTGAATTAAATACACTATTTAATTTAAATCAGTTTTATTCTGAAAAAACCGGAAGTTCACACTATTAACTTAATACTTTTATTCTGAAAATTATTCACTTCCGGTTAGCATTAGCATGTGGCGAAATGCTACGTTTTCAAACCGTGAATCGAAGGTGAAATGACATGTGATGTTGTACACTGAGCACACTGGGATTAGCACTCATTGATTGACGCTGAAGAACGTTTATCAGGGAATGTTTAAATAACCACAGACACCAGAATATACGTAAGTGCTAGTTGTTTTGCGAGTCCAAGTACCGGTTCCCGACATTCCGGTTTTAAACCGGACTTGAACCGAAACTTTTTACAAGTCCAGTACCGGTTCGGCGTACCGGTACGCAGCACTACCCACAAGTTATGTTTTTGTTTACTGTTTAGAAGTCTCAAATATGCACTCTAAATCCATATCAATAGCGATGTATCACAAACATAGCTCTCTTCCTTATTATTGTGTAACGTTAAATATATTATACTAGCAAGATGGATATCTTCATTTCACCACCATCCACCCACTACAATCACACGCCCCAATGTTATATTTAACTAATATGTAACTCCCTCCACCCCGGATAAAAGCACGTTAAGAAGCCCCTTTTCTCTAATTCCACAACGTTAGAGGAAATACAATTAGGAGAACGGATTAATAGGCTGTTCGTGGGTTAACGTGTGTTGCTAACTTTATCCGGTATCCTAGCCTAATCTGTTATCTGTAAACGTTAAATTACATTACATGTCACTTGTTAGACGCTTTTATCCAAAGCGACTTCCATACTCAATACTGTGGGCAATCCCCACAGGAGCAATTTGGGGTGAAGTGTCTTGCCCCAGGGACACAAACGACATGCTGACTGCAGTGGGGTTCGAACCTGTGACCCCCTGATTCCAACACCAAGGCTCTATCCACTGCGCCCACAACGCCTCCTTCCTTAAATATACTGATTGAAGGGATAATCCACTAACATCCTTTAATACACATGTGTAGTTAATTTGATTCAGATGTTCTGATAATATCCGCAATATAAATATTTAAACATCTTCTTAAATGTCAGGTCTTTGGCAGGAAAAACATTTTTAATCAATGATTTTATCACTGAGCACAATCTCGATTTTATGTTTTTAACAGAAACTTGGATTGAACAAAATAACAGTGCAGCTGTTCTTATCGAATCAACCCCTCCCAACTTTAGTTTTATGAGTCAGGAAAGAATGCATTGGAGTGGAGTGGAGTTGCTATTCTGTTCAATGATTCCCTTCAATGCAGGAAGACATCTTATCGGAACTTTGCTTCTTTTGAATATGTGGCCCTTCAGCTGAAATGCTCCTCTCGAGCTCTGTTCCTAAATATCTATAGACCACCCAAATACTGTGCAAGCTTTTTTGATGATTTTACTGAACTGCTGTCTATAGTGTGTATTGACTTTGACCGTCTAGTCATTGTTGGTGATTTTAACATCCGTGTTGACAACCCCCAGGACAGAGGGGCAAAATAACTGTTTTGTGTTCTTGATAGCTATGGACTGTCAACAGTCCATAGCTATTTTTTAAAGATGTTTTGCCTTGCATGGCCTCAGATCTACTTCATATAGTAAACAAATCTCTTCACTCAGGTATTTTTCCACAGGCCCTGAAAACTGCAGTCATTAAACCGCTCTTAAAAAAGAATAATCTAGATGCTTCAGTAATGAACAATTACAGGCCCATATCAAACCTCCCATTTCTAGGTAAAATCATTGAAAAAGTTGTTTTTCAACAGTTGAGTAATTTATTGCATTGAAATAGCTGTTTGGATGTGTTCCAGTCAGGCTTTCGTCCAAACCACAGCACTGAGACTGCTCTTGTAAAGGTCTTTAAATGACATCCACTTAACACAGACAGTGGCAGAACTTCAGTGTTAGTATTATTAGATCTCAGTGCTGCGTTTGACACTGTTGACCACAGCATATTACTAGACCGACTGGAAAACTGGGTGGGACTTTCGGAAACAGTTCTAAATTGGTTTGAATCCTATTTAAAGGAAAGAAACAACTTTTTTTCTATAGGTAAATACACATCTGAGTTGACAAATATGACATGTGGGGTTCCTCAAGGCTCCATCTTGGGACCTCTTCTCTTTAACATCTACATGCTACCACTGGCTCAGATAATGAAAAACAACAAAATAAGTTACCATAGCTATGCAGATGACACACAAATTGACGTAACAATTTCACCAGGAGACTATGCTCCAATTCAAACACTGAGTAAGTGCATTGAACAAATCAATGACTGGATGTGTCAGAACTTTCTCCAATTAAACAAAGATAAAACTGAGGTAATGGTTTTTGGAGCCAAGTCAGAACGTATAAAAGTTAGCGCTGAGCTTCAGTCTGCAATGTTCAAAACAACAGATAGAGCCAGAAATCTAGGTGTAGTCATGGACTCTGACCTGAGTTTCAACAGTCACATTAAAACAGTTACTAAATCAGCCTACTATCACCTAAAGAATATATCTAGGATTAAAAGACTAATGTCACAGCAGGATTTGGAAAAACTTGTCCATGCTTTTATCTTCAGTAGACTCGACTACTGCAATGGTGTCTTCACAGGTCTCACTAAAAAATCTATTAGAAAGCTGCAGCTAATTCAGAACGCTGCTGCTCGAGTCCTCACTAACACTAAGAAAGTGGATCACATCACTCCTGTTCTGAAGTCTTTACACTGGCTTCCTGTGTGTCAAATAATATATTTCAAAATAGTGCTGCTGGTTTATAAAGCACTGAATGGTTTAGGCCCAAAATACATTTCTGACCTCCTGCTAAATTATGAACCACCAGATCTCTCAGGTCTTCAGGGACTGGTCAGCTTTCTGTCCCCAGAGTCAGAACTAAACATGGTAAAGCAGCGTTCAGTTATTATGCTCCAAATATCTGGAACAAACTCCCAGAAACCTGCAGGTCCGCTGCAACTCTGACTACTTTTAAATCCAGGCTGAAGACTTTTCTTTTTGTCGCTGCTTTTAATTGAACTATTCATATCTTAGACTGCACTGTAACTTTTATCCATGTACTTTTTCTTTTAATGTTTAATTGAACTATTCATATCTTAGATTGCACTGTAACTTTTATCCATGTATTTTTTCTTTTAATGTTTTTAATTTATTAGCTTTTCTTTTTAATGACTGATTTTAAATGCCATTTTCTTAATGTCTTTCATTTTTTGTAAAGCACTTTGAATTGCCTTGTGTTGAAAAGTGCTATATAAATAAACTTGCCTTGCCTTGCCTTGCCTTGCCTTACCTTCAAAAGTCCAGTTAGCTTGCCGCTAACTTCCGGGGAACTATTGAGAGGCTCCACGATCCGCCATTGCTGTAAAAAACTGGTCCATTGGAGTGAACGGAGATGTCGTAACTCTTCTATTATATGGCTCTGGGGAATGTGTATGGTTAAAATTGTTTGTAAGTGTAGCATTTGTGGAAACAAAAGACACTTAGAGATCAACCTCATTCTTATTAGAAAACGTAGTGATCTGTGCATTATAGCCTACAGGGAGGAGGCGGGATTCGCCCTCTCGTCCCGGGCGGAGAGATTTTCTCCCCCCGCCAGTCAGATCCGTGAGGACGGAGCACCACACCCGGCCGCTCTCGGCTGGGCAGCCCGCCCCCGTGAGTGCTGGCACGCCGGTTCCACGGGATGGGCCGAAGAGGTGGAGGGCGCCGCGGGCACGGGATCTCCGTGCCGGCACCTCTCCCTTCGTCTCACCGTTGCGCTACGCTCCCTCGTCTGCAGGAAGCCTGTAGAGGAGCGCGCTGCGGTGCTTGAGGACTGTTCTCTCTACTGAGGTCCCTGAACGCACCGCGGCCACTCTTCCGAGGGCCACGCGCCCACGTATTAACGCTGTATTTCCCATTCAATGGTGAAATGCATTAATCGGAGCTATTATACCAGGCAAGGTGTGTTTTCTGACAGCACGCCGGCAATAGCGTCTCTTGAACCCGCACAGTGCTTTGACAGCACTCGGTTTATTTCCATTCACGTGCACACGCCCACCTGCTGGCTCCCTATACTGGGGTTTACAGCAGGGGCGGGGAGTGTAGGACAGTGTTTCCTCCTCTGGGGATGGGCAAGAATCAGCCACGCTGCGATTACTCCTTATCCCGTGAGCAAGGAAATCGATCCAAAGATCCCTTCCGTAAACACGGGGCTCCCAGGAGATCAACACGGTCCTCTTTGGAATGTGCCATGCGGTGTGATATCCCAGGGACATCACACGGCAGGCAGCAGCGGCGGCCTGTGATGAAGTAGGGGCGACCCTATATCATGTGAAGCCACCGAGCACCGGTCCCCGGGGGAACCGGGCATGGGGCAAGGCCCGTGGACCAAGCTACTTAGTCGGCCTTGCGGCCCAATAATCGCTCTGACCTGGTGAGGCGGGGGCATCTCTAGCAATGAGCGAGTAGCCCACAAACTCGCCGCCATGATCATCATCCAGGGAGAGTACAGCCCTGGGCGGTGGACTAACATGGACGTCGGACCCGGAAAGAATGGCGAATGTGAATGGCACCACCTCGGCCATATCCTGGTCCCCCAAACACTCGAAGCAAAGGTGGTGGGGATCGGCGCCCGCTATTTAAGCCAGGGCATAAAGGACAGGCCCGGGTCTCTAGCAGTGACTCCCTGGAGGTATGATAACTCTTTCTTCTTCTTTCAAATGTCTTATCTCTGCTTCAGTTGTTGCCCGCTCGCTGAAGAGAAAGGGATGATAGTCAGGAGGCGAGGCCTCCTTTTATACGGTGAGATGCGCGCGCATTCAGGTAGGCCCGCCCCAAGGCCGACTACGTCTATAGAAATCTCAGTATGTGAATGCTTGCATAGAGGGTAGTACCCATAGAGTCCAGTAGAGGGCGGAGCCTGTGAGAGATATAACCAGTTGGAGTTGAAATTGGCTAGAATAGTTTATAAACTGTAAGACTAATGACGTAACAATGACGAGCAGGCAACAGATTTAATCACCGTGGTTGGCAGGAGTTGCAACGGATACAAATAGTTCTAAAAATATTAGACTATGAATATTGTCTATAAGATAGAACTCACATAGATCTACAAATAACGTAAGCTGGACATGGTTTTAAAATTAAAATAAATAAACAAGTCATGCATTTATAAAACAGTAATCCGCAAAAAAAAACAAGGAAAAGTGACTGTCAAGGTGAAAATAAGGGCAAGTAGGCTAAGCCATCTCAACTGGTGGCCAAACATGAACATTTTTATTCTAATTTTGCATACAAATACATTATTTAGTAGTTCACAGCTCATTGGATCTGATGTTACATCGCATTAATGTCATGTTGTCCAGTCCCCATTGGACAGCTCAGGTTGATGTTTTGAGGGCGCAATATGATGGAAATAGATGAGGTCGAAACAAAGCATGCACCGAGCCAAACACACAAACTGATTGCACACGTTCTCACACACTTACCTTTGTGCTCAGTTCCATAAAAAGCATCCTCTCCATGGGATTCAGCTGATGATTCATTAATTCCCAGACATCACTGCTGTACAAGTACCACCACATGATTTTGACACTAACCTGTTAATCTGGCCCACAGGTCCACTCCACAGAATGAGCTGCATTCTTCATCATCATGTAGATAAATCCCCAACTCAACTGCTGAACAGAGAACAACATGACGAAGGGCAAGAATTGAAAGGAAAATGAATAACCCAATATAACTATTTATAAGTTAGACGAACATGTATATCTAATTTGAACACGGACATTGTTATTATACCTACATAGTCGTTGGTCCATTCAGGTGTACATATCCTAATCTGGGGGAGGGAGCAGAAGAAAAATAAGCAACCTTCACTGTAATGGTTTCAGTCCCTTGTAAACATTCTCAGTAACACTATAATATGATATGTAGATGCATCCTTTAAAACAGTGGTTCTCAACTGGTCAGGCCTCGGGACCCACTTTTTCCTTTGTCAATAAATCGCGACCCGAAATTTGAACCACACAAATCTATTCAACAAAAAACCGTGCTGTAATATATACGTTTTTCAGCATACAATATTAATTAAAGTGAAGTACTTTTTAGAAATACTAAAATATAAACTACGCATTCTGGTACACTCTGAGAAGAAAATAAATAAATCTATTACTACCCGACATATTAATAATATTGTATGCCATTGTTTGTTTTTCACTTTGTTCTGACAGCTGAACTTGCTGCTCCACACAGAGAGAAGAGCAAAGAGGAGAGAGTCTGTGTGACTTACTTTAAATTGTGGGTAAGGGTAGATGGCTCCCATTGTTCTGTGACCTGTCAATCATCAAACTGGGGGTCATATTTCATTAGGTGTTCATTTAGTGGGAATGCTGTTAACAGCATTCCAACTATCTGTTATTCTAAGCACGAAAAGTTTATTATTATTCCGCCGGTATTATTCCACCGGTATTTTGCCGCGCTTCTCCTCCCGCATTGAACATCGCAGAAACTTTGTTCAAACATCAAAACGTTCAGCTCAGTCGGGAATCGATGGCTATTACTTTTCTCATTCATAACTTTCATAATTCCAGAGATACATCCCATAATTCATCAAATGTTTAACATTGAAGTCAATGGAGGAAATCTTCAGACTTCAACAAATCTTCATGTGACTTCAACTGCTAACTGTTCATTCATACTTTCATTCAGAAACCTCATTCCAACTTTAAAATGTTACACATCTTTCTGACATTATTCGTGTAAAACAACTTTTAAATCTGATTCTTACTTCTAGAGATATTAAACATTGTTCAGACCTTGTTATAGAGGTTTTCCTCAGATTTTAAACATTATTGCGTGATGTCACAGCTAGAGGGTAGAAAATCATAACATTTGCCATCAGATTTTTTTTTTAAACTATAGGTTACTTACGTAACCCCAGTTCTCAGAGTAACATGAAGTGAGATGTCTCACTATGGGATGCGCCTCAACGCGTATGCAAACAGAAGCATCAATCTCATTACGCCAATCCTGATTGGCTGGTGATCTTGACGTCTACGTCAGGGAATCCACCCACCATTTAAGTAGCTTGCGCTACGTCGCAGCGTCATTCAAAATAAGCACCTCTTCTCGCTTCGCCTTAGCAAGAAGGGCCGTCTGGTGAGACATCTCACTTCATGTTACTCTGAGAACTGGGGTTACATAAGTAACCTATAGTTCTCATTCATAACACTCCGTTCGATGTCTCACTATGGGATATTGAAACTCCCGTATTGCTAGACATGCTTATCTCGAAAATCACCAAAACAACCAGAACTTAACAGGTAGAACCCTGTCTCAACACGGGGCCCAGCACTGCGCGGGCCACACTTGGAGCAGAGACATCTAGCCTGTAAAAGAGGACAAAAGTGAGCGGTGAGGACCAGCTCGCTGCTGCACAAATGTGCAGGGAGGGTTAGCCCAGGATACAAAGAGTTGGTCATTGCATCAAAACTCTTTTGTCCTGTCCATATAGGTGCGTAAAGCACGGACTGGGCACAGCAAATTCGGGCCGCTATTCCTCAGAGGAACACAGTGGTGGAGGAAATGCCTCAATGTCAATGGGGGTACATGAGCCAACCACCTTAGGTACAAAGGCAGGGTTGGGCTTCAGCAACACTCTCGTTTGCCCCGGGGCAAACTGAGTGCATGAAGGATGTACAGAGAGCGCATGACTGACATGACATGACATGACTGACTCGCTTGGCAGATGCCAGAGCCAGTAACAACACTGTCTTCAGTGACAGGTGTTTCATGTCAGCTTCTTCCAGGGGTTCAAATGGAGGTCGAGTGAGCCCATCTAAAACCACTGCCAAGTCCCATAAGGGCACCAGTGACCTGGAAACAGGGAGGAGCCTGCGAGCCCCTTTTATAAAACGGCAGACCAAGGGATGTTGGCTAGCTGTCTTTCCCTCAAAGCCCACATGGCATGCAGCAATAGCAGCCAGGTACACTTTGATCGGAGAGAAAGCTCTGTATTTATCAATCAGGTCCTGTAGAAATGATAAAATCAACCCGACAGGACATTGAAAAGAGATGTGTCCTTTTTTAAGGCACCACTCCTCAAACACCCTCCACTTACAGTCATAGAGGGACCTGGTGGAGGAAGCTATTGGACTCTGAATAGTGTTTATCACCTTGTGAGGGAGTCCCACTGTATTCAGGTTATACCACTCACGGGCCAGGCCCATAGTGCTAAGCGCTCTGGGTGTGGGTGAAAAATCGTCCCCCCCGCCTGAGACATTATGTCCCTGCGTAGCGGGAGCCACGGCTGCCCGCACAGCAGCTGATATATCTCCGCCAGCCAGTACATTGCAGGCCAGTGTAGAGCTAATAGGATCAGTGTGTGGCATTGTTCTCTCACTCTGGCCAGAGTTGGGGGTATCAGAGCCAGGGGTGGGAACGCGTACAGAAGGACCGGAGGCCAAACGTGCGCGAGCGCATCCACGCCTAACGGTGCGTTTAAATCGTGCATTGAAATGAACAGCTGACATTGAAATGAACAGCTAATATTGAGCGTTTTCTTTTGATGCGAACAGATCCACTGCAGCGCGGCCGTAACGCACCCACAGCTGACTCACAATTATTGGATGTAGAGTCCAGTCTGCATATAGTGGTGCACCTCTGGACAGCAGATCTGCCCCGAGGTTCATCACTCCTGGTACGTGCGTCGCTCTCAGAGAGAGCTCCATAAGATCAGTTTGCGTGCCAGCATGTGTAACTGGAGAGAACGCAAACCCCCTTGGTGGTTTATATACGATATTGTGGTCGTGTTGTCTGTCCTCACGAGGACATGATGTCCTCTGAGAAA